ATGCAGTTTTACAGGCTGGAGGAAGAGTGGTTAGAAAGTGGTCATGAGAAAAAAGACCTGAGGGTGTAGCCAGGTGGGGGTCGACCTCTTGTCCTGGGCAACTGGTGACAGGACAAGAGGGCACAGTCTGAAACTGCACCAGGGGAAGTTCAGGCTAGAAATGAGGAGGCATTGCTTCACAGGAAGGGTCGTTAGGCATTGGAATGGGCTGCCCAGGGAGGTGGAGGAGTCTCCATCCCTGGAGATGTTTAAGAAAAGACTGGACATGGCACTTAGTGCCATGGTCTAGCTGACGTGGTGGTTTAGGGTAAAGGCTGGACTCGATGATCCTAGAGGTCTTTTCCAACCAAACCGATTCTGTGTGATTTCTTTTGTGGAGTTTCCAGGAGATGGATCCATGGTTGAGTTTGAGGAAAGCCTGCAGCAGTGTTTTGTAACCTTTTATACATTTTTATAAAACTCCTTGTTGGTTACAAGGTTGGAACCGCTGAACTGATGAGGGCCCTTGCAGGAACAGTGTGCTTCCATCTTGGAGGGACCCTGTGGATTCATTTTCTGACCATGGACTTGCATCTTTAAGCGGTTCACAGATCAGGACACTGAATGCTAACTGTTTCCGTCCTTTCTGTTTTAAGGAGCAAGATATTACTTTAATTGTGCAAAAGTTATTTTAGATAAAGTCCTCTGCATATTTCAAGTCTAACAGCAGATAACATATGGATGAAGCTGCTGAGGTTCATCTAATGGTGTATATCAAATCTGTTCATGTTTTATCTGAGAAATAATTTATTGTGTTGATTTGGTTTGTGTATTTCTAGGTTTGGCTGACCCTAGCTGATCAGTACTTACACAGTATAGCCATTGACTGGGATAAAACCATGCGTTTCACATTCAATGAAAGAAGTAATCCTGATGATGACTCTATGGGCATCCAGATAGTAAAGGTAGCCAGCTAATTCATTATTTTATTTTAATTTTTGAATGAAAAGTTGATTTATTTTTTTTAAATAGATGGAAATTGAATTTATTTTGCTCTCTAGAACTGCTATGGCAAAAATTTCATCTTAATTCCCTTTAGCCCACTAAAATTATTTCTTCGGCTGCTTTGGTCCTTCTTCTGCACTGGTCTTGTTAGTGTTAGCTGGGAAAAAAAACCCTGCTGTTACTGATTATTCCCCCCCCCAATTTCTACTTTTATTTTAAAAGAAATACTTGAGTTTAATGGAGACAAAGGAACAGATGACAGATGTGGGTTTTTTTCCTCTTCTCCATAAATAAACACAAATACTTGCTGGGATTAAAAGGTATGCTTTATAATATAGCAGTTGAGCATTTTTCAGTTATTTTACAGGAGTTAAACAACTTTGTGTATATTTCTCGGCTAATTAATGTTTAAAGCAGTGGACGGTTTTAGGGAAGAGGTTAATAGATTTGTATTGCTGTGGTGACTTTAATATTAGTCTATGTACCTATTTAGGAGATACTGCTCTATCTAGGAGAGATTGTGTTCTATAGTCACCTTAATTAGAGCATATGGAGCAAAGTACATTGTGTTCCTGATTATTACAATTGTCATCTGGACTAGGTAATTTAAGCTTATGATACTACTTATAAAATACTAAACAATGTAGTATATATTTTGCCTTTCACTTATAAATCGCTTAAATCTCAAGGACACTTTCTGGTTTTTTATGTTGTGAAAACTTAGTTGCCCTGTACTACTTTTATACTTCGATAAAACCAGTTGCTTTTCTTGTTCAATTAAGCAGCTGTTATGTCTTGCCTCTTTGAGACCTAGGTATCTGTTAACATCTTCTGTGACAACTTCATATGAACATCTTTTAGGTAACGTGTTTACTGAAGAGCTTGCTGAACCTATTTCTCTTCAGTAAGCTAAAGGTTTACAGATTAAAAAAAGAAACGTCTTCAACTTTGGGAGGGTGGAGGTGGAAGGAGAACTGGGACAGGCGAGAGAACTACAGGAGGGAGGAAAATGCACATCTCTCTTGTCTGTTCTTGTCTTTTTTTCTTTAAAGGACCTTCACCGAACTGGTTGCAGTTCTTACTGTGGCCAGGAGGCAGAGCAAGATCGAGTGGTATTAAAACGCGTTTTGCTGGCTTACGCCAGGTGGAATAAATCTGTTGGCTATTGTCAAGGATTTAACATACTAGCTGCACTTATTCTGGAAGTAATGGAGGGCAATGAAGGGGATGCCCTGAAAGTGAGTAAAATATTTTTTTTCAGTGTTGAAGATTCCTTTTAGTTAGTGAAGTTTAGAATAAACCAGTACATGAATTTTGTAGACTGCCTAAAAAAAGCAGGACTCAAAGGTGTTAACCAATTTATATTTGCGATTGTTTGTTATCCTGGCTGCGCTAAAATGAACAGTTTGAATGCCATCACCGTTAAAATTTTTTTTCAAATAGAAATAAATGATGGTTTGACCATAATAAAATAAATGGGAACACTGCTACTGACTTTAGAATATCTTATCCCATAATCCCAAGTCTGCTTCCAAACACCATAGATAGCTGAAACCTTCTGATTCCATTATCGACTTCTTGTGTGGCAGTAGCATGCAAGGCAGTTAATAAATCTGCTGCATTTTAAAGCAAATTCTAGGAAAACACAAAATCAGTATTTAAAATTGAAATAAATAACCTTGAGGCTACTTTCTGGCCTGCATTAGTCATACAGTTCTTTATTTTTTTAGACCTTTTCTATTCTAATTAAAAGAAAGCTTCATGAAACTTACAGTATGTCAGAAAATGGCAATACAGTAGAGGACATGGTTTAAGGTTTGCCAAGATCATGTGCAAATTTCCCTAAGTTAACTTGCTCATATGTGTAAGTTGGGGTCAAATTAGTAAAAGATAATTGTGACTCTTGAGATACTGAGCTGTTTGTTTTGACTTAGACAATGATTTAAATATGGTAAATACTTAAATTCACTCGGAGCTCCTGAAATGTAAAGCTTGTGGTAGTAGAGTCCAGCTAGCTGGTATTTAGTACCTCACTCTAGAGAGCTGCCTGTAATAGGAGGAAAATACCACAACATACCTACTTTATATCAGAGAGTAAAATTTCCTTTCTATAATTCTTGCTAAAGATTTCCTCAATATTTTTAACTAGAATTTGTCACATTTTATCGTGATCATACACTGTCCAGAAGCTCCCAAAACACATTATGATAATATAGGAAATACGATTGCCCAAGGTTTATGAAGTCCAAATTGATTATAAGAACTGTGTGCATCCTTATATTATCGGATTGTCTTTTACTGTGAGGAGCATCAGGCATCTTGTGCTAAGGAGACAATGGAATGGCAGCGGACTGCCCTGGGGAGGTAAAGCACTGAAAGCTGTTAGCAGTAAAATGGGGCTTACCTGGTAAAAATAGGAATGAAAAATAGTAATTTCTTTTCCAAGCTTAGTGTATGGGCTTTGCGGAGTTGGAATTTCCCCAGAAGAGAGAGGAAAGAGGGAAGGAGGGGGGGGAAAAAAAAAGGAACGAGGTGAGGAAAAAAAGGCATTGGGGGTTAGCGTGTGGCTGTTTTGTTGTTGTAGTCACTGTGCCATCTACAGCAAGCAATGAGTGACTTCAAATCAGCAGCAGAGGCTGTTGCTGTAAAGCTGCCCTCAGGATTGGAGCTATGGGGAAACTGTTTCGGTTATTGCAGAGTCTCGGAGTTAAGGGAGCAAGGGGATTTTTGGGGGTCGCCAGTCAGGTCCCCTTTCTGGGAAGGACGTTATAAGCAAAAGCTCTGTGTTTGGGAAGTGTCTCCCAGCAGCTGGGGAACAGCTGGTAGTACTGACACCATGGGGCTTTAACAACGTGGCAGCTTCAGTGAATGCCCAGCCAGGGACACTTGAGTCTTCTGTAGTTCAGGTAAGCATGTTTAAGTTAAATCCCTGAAGACACCTGAAAGTTAGCCTACTGAAATTAAGATAAGCAAGAAAATGACAGCTTTGCCTGTCTAGAAGCTATCAAAGTATGCATAAAAGTCTCATAAATACTGAAACTTAAAAAGCATTTTTCCTGCACATTATTGTGGGGAAATATTACAAAGTCAAATAATAAAAATAAATATGTAGAGATGTCTCATGAAGAAAGTTTCTATTGCAAACTGCTAAATACGTGAAGCTGCTTTTTTAAAAAAGCATTCTCAAAACAGCTCACATGTCAGTGAACTAGAATGGACTTCAGTGTTGCAAAAAGATTGCTATTCTTTCCTATCCTTTCATATATCATATATCTCATATATATAATACCACTCAATGGGAAGGGAGCAAAAGCCTTTATAAAATGGTTTCTTTGACATAGGGATTTATGGCTTATGTCATAAGAAGTTAATGAAAACACAAATAGCACAGTTGTGAGTTAATGTTGCTGTATTAAATTATTCTTCCAATGGTTGAAATATATCTGAACAAAATAGAGTGTATTTTTAAAAGACAATGAGGTGTCCCAGTATTCAGCAAAGGTTAGGGAATGAATCTGATGCCGTATGAGACTCCAGCTTACTTGTTAATCACCTATTTCCTTTCGATCCTTAAAACTTAACAAAAAAACAACCCAACTCATCACAAATGTGTAGAAGCTATTGATTTGCCTGTATTGATTGCTGATCTACATGCTTTAAAATATGGAACAGAAGACTGTTATGGCCTGTGAAAGTCTTGCAAGGACAAGTGGTAGTATGCGGTCACAAGCAGCTGAGAAAAAAGGAAGGAATAAGACTGTGTAAGGTGGTGCTCTTGGAAGTCCAGTGTCTGCCGAGCAATTTTTGTGCCAAGCACCTTATGAAAAGAGGGGAATTGGAAGGAGGATTATCTCCTGTGTATGAAGGTGCCATACTTCTCAAGCATTAGAGGCTGTATGAAACATATGGTAAGGATGCTCATTTGAAATTTTAACAAAGGAGTAATGGAGAGTTGAAGCAGAGGGGAATGACTGCATGCAAGCTCTCTGGATATGGTTTGTAGAGTGGCCATAAAGATTGTAAAAGATCCTGAAGTGAAGGTCAGCATCTTTTGTTGGGCTGGTGATACACATCGACTTCTGCACATTTCTTTCTTGCATTTGTTCATTCTCAAAAGTTTGACTGTATCCAGTTAATACGTTACCATCCATGTCGTTGAGGTGTCTCACTTGAAACAGATGTCTGTTTAAAATGTCTCATGCTACTTAATTTAGCACCTTTTAAAGTAACAAGATGAAGTGCAGCACATGGTAACACATCACAGTAAAATGTGTTAAAGAACAGTATCTTGCATTTTGGAGAGAGGAAAAAAGATGATTTGGAAGATCAGTCTTCTAGTTGTGGCAGTTAACAACCAGAGAAGGGACAGTGGAACTTTCCAACAGCATGGAGAATCTCATCTACACGTACAGCATCAGAAGTACCAAAAGTTGCCTTGGTTTGCGTAATGTTTCCAGTTTGGGCATAGCTTACTGTGACATTGATTTCGGTCATTAATGGTTTATAAATTCTGGACAGCTTCAAGAGGCCTTTGCACCTTGTTTGCTTGTGGATACTTAGGGTACCTGTGAACGCTTAAAATTACAATGTTTTCTCCCCATATAAATGGAGATACCAGAGGCATGTGTTGCCACTGGCTCAAAGCCATTCTTTAGTGAACAGAGAACTTTAAAATTCTTTTTTTTTCCCCTGTTATTCCTAGAAAATAACTAGCTCTGCTAAGTCCTATATGATAATATTTCATTTTCCCCACAGATCATGATTTACCTAATTGATAAGGTGCTTCCTGATAGCTATTTTGTCAATAATCTCCGCGCTCTCTCTGTGGATATGGCTGTTTTCCGAGATCTTTTACGAATGAAGCTTCCTGAACTGTCCCAGCACTTGGATACCCTGCAAAGAGCGGCTAACAGAGAAAGTGGAGGTAGGTTCAACAGAAAATGCTATTAAATTCTTTTTTGCTATTGTTTCATCTGAGCACAGGTCTCAAAATACAGTTTTTTTACATGTTTATGTGAGTTTGTTGCTTAAAAAAAATATACTTTAAATTGTTAAGGTGAAAGATGATGGTTTCCATTAGTGATAATCTTAACATAAATAGGTGGTGCTCTCAAAGAAAAAAATAAAAGGGAAATAATTTAGTCCCGCCACTAACTGCAAACAGAATCATGTTGACAAGGATGTAAAAATGTATGGAGTGACAACACTGTAACACACAGCTTCGTACAAGGGCTACCATTGGAAAGGTTGTTTCTTGCCTTAGCTCAAGATACCTGTCCTGCCATTGCTCCTTGTAGTTGCTAGCTTATAGAGCAGTTCTGGGAAGAGTTACAAGGTGAGAGTCATTTCTGGGTGGTTGGTATTTCTTCACTTGGATGCTTAGCGATACACAGGTGCAAAACTCAGAAGTCCTTCTTGGGTTGCTACCTGAGAACTGGCTTTGCACTGTGGGTTTGTTTTTCTCTTCCTGGTATAGCATTCCATCCAGACTTTTTTTTTTAACAAGATAACAGCTCTTTTATTTGGGGCTGTTTTGAGGAGGGTGCGTTTTTTGGTTGTTAGTTGGTGTTTATGTCAGTCTGGTAGCTAAGTGCACCCTGAGTTCCATCTTAGAAAAGATCTGCTACCATGTAAATAAGCTGTGACTGTGCCCAAACTGTGTAAAAACAAAGGGTGTCTAGGAAGTGTTTGCTGTTTGAAAGTGTTTTCACAGGCAGCAGCCTCTTTGGTCATGGCCTTCAGTGCATCAGTTGATACTAGGATGCACACAGTGTTCTCTGAGCATAACAAAAAAGTAAAACTTCAGAGTTTCAGGCTGAAATACTAAATCTTGTTTGCAACTTAACAAGCCAAAAGAAAAGCTGAATGTGTTAGAGTCACTTCTGCAAAGCTGGCAGTGCGTCAGGATATTAAAACAATAGATAAGACTTTACAGAGACAGTCACCTTCACCTTCATGTAGATAAAGACTTCTTATGCCATTAGTTTCTGAAGAAATACACTGGGTTTGGGGGTTCTTTGGTGGTGTGGGGTGTTTTTTTTTTCTGTTTTGTTTTTTAATAGAAGCTTTTCACTTATATGGCTTTGGGGAAGGAAAAACAATCTTTCTGATATAAGAAAAAAAAAAAAGTGTGATGGTGTTTCCCAAGGTTTATGGTCCAAAACCAATGCTGCTGCTTAGAGCTTTTTGCAGTGCAACAGAATGAAAAGTGACTAACTATGTCATTTTTCCATCACTCTCTTTCTCAGCTTATCACTGGACAGCTGCAGGCTAAGTAAGTTTTGAGCAATAACAGAGGTACTAGAATGTCTGGTGGATTTCAGTATGCAGTTTATACTCCTTGTAAAATAATAGTAAATTGCAATTACTTTAAGCTTTTTTTTCTTCCCCCCCCAGGAGGCTACGAACCCCCACTTACAAATGTCTTCACAATGCAGTGGTTTCTGACCCTCTTTGCCACTTGCCTGCCTAACCATACAGTTCTGAAGATCTGGGATTCAGTATTCTTTGAAGGCTCTGAAATCATACTGAGAGTAGCTTTGGCTATCTGGGCAAAGTTAGGAGAGTAAGTGGTCATTTTTATCTGATTTTTCTTTTCAGTACAAGCAATGTGTGTAACTTCTGTTGTTCTGAAGAGCGTGATCTCAATTCTAAACAGGAGGTAATCTTTCAGGAGAGTGATTCTGCTTTGAAAAAGCTGTATGAAGTGCCTCTATGGCTTCCCCAAAAACATATGCTTCTGACATCACGTCGGAATGGGCATGATAATTAATTGACCCTTGCTGCAGGAAATGTCTCCAGTTGTTTGTGTTGTCTGTGTGTAATGTCTTGATGCTATGCTAAAAGGTTGTTTGGACTTTCCAGAACCTAGACCTCCGAGGGAGCTGGTAAATCTTCTGTGGAAAGACGTACAGAGAGACTTGAGGGTAACTAATTTAGTTGTGTACCTGAAACTGGGGATGTTAATTCCCTTATTAGGTTGGCCACATCTAAGAAAAGAGTTCAGTGTTACTAAGAGAACGATTCAGTGTTACACAGTTCTTTTCTGTTGAGGCCTGCAAACACATTTTCCTGAAATTCTCTGCTTTTAAGCTCATTCTAGCCAAGTTTCTATTATAGTACCTTAAGGCCTTGGAAACTCACCACATAGGACAAAACACAAGAGATGGTTGATTCTTCTATACCCCTCTGTTGTCACAGCAAATATTTGCATTCCAAAGAGTGTACAGTGCTCCTGGAGAAATGAGTTTTGTCACTGACTTCAGTGGGAGGTGTGAGCTCTGACAGGTCCAGCAGATGTTAGTTCAGCTGGAAACTTTTTTCAGCTGGTGTCAGCAACTGCATCAAATTTTTCTTGTGATGCCTATCAACACTCACCTTCCTTTTTTTTCCCTGAGATTGAACCACTGGGATTTATGTTTAGCTCTATCCTTGGAGATTTCATTTCTTTTTTTATTTTCTGAATAAATGAGCATTGCAGGCCAGTAGCATTGTAAGAGACTTTGTTTAGTATATTTAATTTTTAATCTGAAGAATAATAATTAGAATAATAATTTCCTAAGAGCTTTATTTGTTCAGTTCATGAATGAAACTTGCATGAATCATTTGCATTAGGATTAAGCTATATGTAGTCCCCTTGTGCTTTATTACTTTGTACCATACCTTTAAATAAAAGGTCCTATTCCAGTGGGTCTCTGTGCACTTAAAAGCTGTAATTATGAATGTTCCAGCTCAACATGGTAAAAAAGGAAGTCACTGCTTTGAAAATTTTACCATAAAACTTAAAGCCAAAATGAAACATGTTTTATAAAAATTGGAAGGAACAGAATGAAGAAATCTGTAAGAATGTGTCCAAAAGAATAACCTGATCAAACTGCATACCTTGTAACTGTTGTTTATGGGCTCAGCTCTTTTGAATACAGTGACATGTATAAATACACCTATACTTAATTTACTCCACCGGAATGTTTTCTGGCCAGCAAATATATTCCCGTCTGACAAAAAGACAGTTCAACCAGTGAATTCAGCCATTTGGTGCATAGTGAAGAATGAGTGATGAGGCAGTCAAGAGCTCTTTATGCTCCCTTGAGCTGATGAGAGAGCTCCCTTGTGCTAGTAGGAGGTGGGATTTATTGATTCTCATGTTGTAGAAGTGAAAGGGGAAGAGGGAATAACCTGTCTGGGCATCCATGAATCCTGTATCGTGAGCAGTCAGGATAGTAAGCTGTGCTCAGCACATCCTTTTACTGCACCAGTGTTTCTAATGTGGTGTGCACAGTTTTAGTATTTGGAAGTGCAGGGAGGTTTGCAATAAACGTAAGAATTAAGGTGACTAATGGAAGCACGTATTTTATGATAACAGAAAGTTCAGTTTTGGTTTGGAGGTGTATAACCATATGTAAAAGTAAAATAAAAAAAAAAACCCAACATTTTTTATGTATTTTGATGTAGGCAAATAGAGTGTTGTGAAACTGCAGATGAGTTTTACAGTACCATGGGCAAGCTGACCCAGGAGATGCTGGAAGACAGTCTGATTGACAGCAATGAACTCATGCAGGTGAGTAATTGTGATATAATTATTGTTTGTGTTTTCTGTGCATCCTTCAGGTGCTGATTTCTAACAAATTACATTTTTGTTCAGATACTGCAGAAACCTAAACTCTCCCAAGAGTAAAAGTTTAAGATAACTGAGTTCAGCTGGCATGTCAATGAAACAAATACATGACCTGCAGTTAAAGCTAAAATCTTATCTTATACATTAAATATTGAGGACCACTAAGCTCCATTTAATAAAAATTGGTTGTGTCTTGACAGCTGAAAGTTTGTTGTGATTTCATGCCCATTTGGATTTACGCAAGTATGATGTAGAATCTTTTAGTAGTCATAATTTTTAGGATGTTCTTTTGTTTTATTTTTGTGTTGTGGTCAGTTATTTATTACACTGTGTCCTTTTCATTCTGCAGACACTGTGGGAGACAAGAGTTTATCAACTGAGACAGGGAAAACAAATATCCTTCATGATTTAAAAAAAAAGGCATGAACAGTCGTCAGTGAGCTATAAACAAAGACATCTGTAGATAATTGCAGACCCTGAATTCTTAAAGCATACATCATTGTCTGAGAACAAAGATCCACGTTGTTCTGGGAAAGGAAAGGCCTTTAATATTGCAGATGCAATTTTATGGATTCGCACTTAGACTTCTTTTTGTGATATCCTTTAGATGTTGTCTACTTAAATGTTGTGTAAAGACTTCATGCTACAGTTCTGGAACATTGCTTTTGATGAGTTAGAGCATGGTGATTAAATGGGTGCAAATACAGAGCACATAATTGACCTCAAATTTTTCACCTGTCTTAGGGGAAGTCAGTCTGTCTATGAAGTTGCATGAGTTTATTCGCAGTAGTTAGCAGGTGACTTCTGTTACCCATTATTGGAAGGAAAACTTACTGACTCTCTGGGATAACACACCTAGTCTGGTGAAGTACTGCCCTGAAGTAAAGGATTACTTTCAGGTTTTTTAATTTTTGTTATTGTTATTTTGTCTGATGAGGGAGCTCTAGGAATGGGAGAGGTGATCACTGTGACTTTGTTTTGCATCAAGAAGGGAAATGCAGCTGGTCAGAGGGTACTCGCTTACTTTTAAAATAAGTGTTAAGGTTTCAAGATATTGAGGATGTGTGAGGAGGGCAGCACAAGCTGATGCCTTCTCATATTCATTGTGTTTCAGTTCCTGGTCTCAAGTGTAGTACAAAATCAAGATGTGGCATTTGTGACAAGGAATAATGTTGGGAAAGCTGAAGTGGGCTTTAGTGACTCAGTATGGATATCTTTCTTTGCTGTTGTGTGTAACAGAAAATAAGGCATAGGTAACTTACTGCTGAAGGGATGGAAGGATCTTTTTGGGTTTTGAACAGTTGCAATTAGAAGTGTACTAAATTAGTAGTCCTTTTGTGCTTCAGCAAAAAATAAGCACTTGGTGCAAAGTATATATGTATTCATAGTGTACATATGTATTTTGTGGCGCTGACAGGAGCGTTAAGGTAGGATAGCATTGCCTTTGATAAAGAGAATGTGGCAGGTTTAAGTTTTCTGCATAGAGAAGCAGTGTGTCTGGTTTGTGTGTATCCTCTCAGTTGAAGAATCCACGCCATAATTTAGATAGCATTCTTCAAGTCAAAGGCAGGCACTGGCAGTGTAGTCATCTCTCTCTGAGATGTTCGCTCTAGGCACTGTACGTGGAGAGAATTAGGCGCTACAAGAATTTACCGTTAGGATATATGAATGCCACCATGTGTCTGGCTACTGCTTTTGAACAATGTTCTTTGTGTTGGAGAAGAAAATAAAGCCATATGAACCATTGTATTAATGAAAGGATCCAGGCTGCATGAAGACGCTGGTTTTTTAATTGCGTTAGGCTTTTTCAGAGGGGTCAGTCAGAGATGAATGTTTACAACTGCTTTTGAACAATGTTCTTTGTGTTGAAGAAGAAAATAAAGCCATATGAACCATTGCATTAATGAAAGGATCCAGGCTGCTTGAAGATGCTGGTTTTTTAATTGTATTAGGCTTTTTCAGAGGAGTCAGTCAGAGATGAATGTTTAGACTGCTTTGTTTTCAAAATGTTCTTTTTTTTTTCTTTTTTTCCTAATCAAAGTCAGAACAGTGAATTTACATCTAATACTTTTTACAAGGTGGCTCCAGGGTTAGTATCCTACTGTGGGAAAGGATTAATATCCTACTCTGCCTTTCAGTGAAGATTGCTGGTGGCAGTCATCTCACTTTTCTTTAGACTTGCATGACATTTACATTTGCATCTGAACTACCTCTCCAGGCTCACTTAAGCCAGTGAGGAGTAACAGGCGTTTCTCTGCCATGAGAAAACAAATTGTGCTCTAAAAGGCCTCTTTCCTTTGGGAGTTGGAGGAGGGAGGTATGGCTGATCCTTCAGGGACAAGTGTTGACAGAGCAGATGTCTAAAGTAGATCAGAGGACTCTTGTCCTCATTCTCTCCACCAGCAGCATGTATAGTTGGTGCAAGTTTATAATAAGAAGTGCCTCCCTCCCTCCCAGCCAGACAGTACACATACCTAGGATTGAGGGCTTAAAGCTTTTGCAGATTTGGCCCTTGCGTGGCCAGAGTCCATATGAAGTTGTGCTGAGGAGAGCATGGAGGGATTGGAGGAGCAAGCAAGGCTACAGCTTTCTCCTTTTTCAGATTGAACGGTTGAGGTAAATAAAGGGTAAGTGCTGTACACATCAGGTGCTAGACCGGGTATGTATTCAGGACTAGAAGTTAAACAAATATGGTGTTCAGTAATGTCATTTTATTGGCCTATTAATAAACTTTGGTTCTAACATGGGGACAGAAGGCTATACACCAGGTGTCTGCAGATATTCTAAACAGCGTTTGCTAGATTGAGTACACACTTTCATGCCTTCTCAGAAAGCGAGCATTTTTATGAGCAGCTAAACTAATTCTGTTTGTATGCCTATAAAGATTGCAGTGTGGAGGAGATGAGAAGCAAACAGGTAAAGGAGAGGCATCCCTGTTCATTTACTGTGGTGGAGGGGAGCAGGGATGAATCCCTCCGTAGTACTCTAGCATTTTAGACTGTCTCCCGTAGACAGTTACCCTGATTTGATGGTATTCACTGTTAACTTTCTACTTGAGTAGCACTTTGTCTCTTTTCTTTTGGGTTTGTTTTTGCTTTTGCTTCTTGTTTTGTTTTCTTAGTGAAGGTGAAAAGAGAGAAGAGCCTTAAACCAGTGTGGGGTGGCTCTTGAGATAAGTGTGTGGGAGCTGTCTGCAAAACAGCTTACCCTCTTCTGGAGCCACGGCCCATCACCTTCTGTGTGCTGTTCTGCTGAGGGTCTAGATGGCTTTGCATTTTTAGAGTAAGGCAAAGGATTGACAAATGCTACTGATTTAAGGTGAGAAGAGGGGTGTTTTTCTTGTCTCCTTTCTTGTTAACAGAATCTGTCCCTTATGGCCATAAATAAGATGCTAATTTTGGCTGCATCGTGCTTCATATATGTAGGCTGTTCGCCTCTGGCACAGTTTCACCAGAATTAACCAAATGGCATCCAAGGCTATATACAAACTGGGAACAGGATGTTTTAAGTCAAGTATTGCTATGAGGAGATAAGCATGTTGATTGACAATATTTTTTTAATTTCCAGTGGAACTTGCATCAGCATAAAATTTGTTTGTGGATCTCTTAGCCAGGTGGCAGGTGAGGCCTCCAGTTATAATTTGATAACAAGTAATTAAGCTAAAAACATGTATGCTAAGTGAAAGAAATTGCACAGGATCTGGAAGAGACACAGACTGGAGACAGGCAAAAGCTAAAAGCGTAATCTGAAACAGTAGGTGCCAGGAGTAAATGGAGGACCCTGAGTCGACTGTTTCACTGAAAGGGTAACTAGCATATGGAACAAGTTACCTGAAAAGGCTGTTGACATAAAAAGTAGAAATAAATTCCAGACACACCTCCTTCTCTATGAAGGGAGACAGTTGAGACGTATGGGGGAAAAAAACAGGAAAGTGTGGTGGAGATCAAACAAGCAGGCAGACACATTGGGCCGGAGGTAGGTCTTTCTCCAGATCATAAAATTCCTTCGTCTGGTAGACTGCCGGGATTTCGCTGTTCAGGCCCTAGAAAATATTTGTCTTTCACAGTAGCATTGTAGATTCATGAAATGGCAAAGCTTCAGTTCGTGCTCTGGGTTTTTGTAGGCATCCTCCTTGCCTTACAATCTGTGCAGGGCTCAAACTGTAAAAGCATTTTCATGCAGGAGCCTGTTGAGCTGCACTACTGCCCTGTGTCTGATCCAGCCAGGAGTGACCTTTCTGATCCTCATTGCTTACATCATTGCTGTTAGTGAAACTTTTTTTCCCTTCCTCTGTCAGGAAAAGTCTAGTACTGAACTCATGTTGGCGATTTTCCTTAGTGTATTTAGCGCAGACAAGGCACAGTTCAAGAATGGATTATGTAGAAATTGTTCAAAATTTCCTTTTATCTTAATTGAGGCCATTTGCCTTCAGATGAAAATGTCACTGACTTAACAGCAAAGGAAAAAAAAATACAAGTGGAGATTTCCTGTCATAGCAACATAAAAATTTCTCATCAGCTATCTTTCAGAAGACATTTAATTTTCAAGATGAGGAAAAGCTATAATATTTCAGAGAAACTATAAGAAATTATATTTTTGCTATTTTTTTCTTTTTACTTCTGACGTTAAGACTCCCAGTGAATTGTGTCAGTTATTTGAAAGCCCTGTAATTTTAAGTGTACAAAAGCAGGGGGGAAAAAAAAGGCAACTAAAATAGGTAGGAACAAATCAGCAGGGATATTGCAAGGAATACAATGTGTCTGTATGCCAGGTTGGCTGGTGACAGGCATCCTGTAGTTACAGTTACCTAAAGCAAAAAAAAAAATGCTGAAAGCCAATACATTTGCAACTGTTTATCTTCTTTAATTGTGAGTATTGAAGGAAATAAAATGCGTTAGAGTTTTTTTTATGGCCTTGTTTTAAGTTCTAGGGACTACATGTTGAGTTCAGAGTTGCAGAGAGATTTTTTTGTTCACCGTAGAACAAATGTCTTTTAAAAAACCAGCCACCACTACCCCCCCAAAAAAACCCCAAACAAACAAATGACAAAAAAAGCCCTCTCACAAACCTGCCCCCCCCAAACAACAATCAAAACCAGAAACTGAGAGGAGAAAATTGAGCTGGATAATGTTGGGTCCTTCCTCTTTGGCCATAACTTTTGTGTTGAAGTGATTCCCTTCACACAAATTCTTGGGACTGCTCAGGTGAAGTAATGGATCTGTTAACAGTCCACATCAAGTGACGATCCGCTTCTTCCTGTCTATGCTAGTGTCAATACCTTATTGAATACTTGAGCAGAAACACAGGTCTTCTGGAAGATGTCCAGAACCTCAATAATGCATTCGTGTAAGTGAAATCGTAATTGGAAGAGGAGGATTTCCATTTTGCTGGCAAGGGGAGGATTGACAATGATTATTAAATAAGTATAGGAGTTGAAAAGGACCCTACGTCTCATGTTATCAGTTCCATTTTTATTTTTTTTTTCTCTGAACCATGTATTTTTCTAGTGAATCAGTCTATTTTTCTTATAGGAAATACCGACTGAACCATAAAACTAGACCATTTCCATTTTCTTACAGCACATGAAAATGTGCAGCCTTTAATCCTGCAAGATTCTGCAAGTCTGTTCATGGAGAAATCTTTTGTGGCACTGTTAGTTAAAGTGAAAATTTTAAAAGCTGTGGTTTTTTATTTTCCCTAGACTGTTTATACCATGGCTCAGTTTCCCTTCCCACAACTGGCAGAATTAAGGGAGAAATACACGTACAACATTACTCCTTTCCCTGCAGCAGTAAAATCAACTTCACTTTCAGGGTAAGTTTATATGCTTATGGCATATAGGGTTATGGTTTACCCTACACAGACAGTAAAAAGACAGGTAGCATACTCTCTTGTATGCTCCTAAAGAAGATAAAGATGTTTGGTAATGATCATATTTAAAATGTTTGTTTCTTATTTCTCTTATGTTCTTATTTGACAGAAGGCTAGGCAGAATCAGAGACAGTGACGAGGAGAATGACCTAGATGATGAAGACTCAATTGCCAATGCAATTGGCTGTCTTGGACCATTAAGTGGGTTTTTGGCACCAGAGCTCCAAAAATACCAGAAACAGATGAAAGGTAAAAGTGCTTTTGTTCATTTTGGAAAATGTAGTTGAATCTGCATGACCTTTTAGAAATCCTCTGTGGCTTCCTCTGTGAAATCTGCTATAAAAATTGCATTTTATATTCATGTAGAGATTACAGCAGGTACCAAATGACTTGCTCTGTGGTCCGTGAAGATGCCTTCAAAGTCAAGTGTGAAGGCTGTATGTATACAATAAATGACAGTGTGGGTTAAGGATTTGGCTACAGTAATGGTTAAAAACCCAACCCCATAGTGTTGGCCACCCACAAAAAAAGAAGCACGTGTGGAAAAAAACTCCACCCTAAATCCACATTTAATTCCGCAATGGTTAGGTAGTCAGCATTTTCTGAAGACTGTACATGTAATAAATAATCCTGATCTTTATTAGCATATGCATGGCTAATATTGGAATCTATCAATCAGCAGTGAGCGAATTCCGCAGGTCATTTCACCGCCCTTTTGGCCAAACCTTCAGACTGTTGTATGTTTTGGTTATTATTATTCACTTTTTTTTAAAAAATTGGGTATGGCTTAGGATGTTCTGACAAAATGTCACTATTTTTCAAATCCTTCCATGTCGAAATAAAATTTCAGACAGAATTGTGTGTTCATCTATGCACGCTCTACAAGCAGAACAAAATTCTGATCCATACAAGAAAAGAAGATTGTTTGTTAACTTGTAGCAGCCTTTACAAAATGGTACTGGATCAACAGTGATTTTATGATATCCTGGGAGAGGCTATAGTTATTTATCCCCAACCCACCCCTGCCTTCCCCCCCACCTGCCCCCCAAAAAAAACCCCGGACTGATGTAGCAGTCACTGTTATCTGATTACACATCATCATTCTTGTGGCTTTGTTTTGCTGAGACCTGTAAGCTGCAATTTTGCTCTTGCTGTGGTGTTTTGTTCCTCCACTCCTGAGGGACTGTCAGTCTCTATCTGCTGCTTCAAGCTAGCACTTAGTCAGAACATCAAACTGCTGTTGCAAACTAAGCCAAAGACAAATAAACATCCCTTGAAAAAGAATTATCCCCTTGACCCTGGAGTGCCAGGCTGGTAGTGCATCAGAAACAGCTGTGAAAATAAATTGTACTGCTGCTGTTGCTCTGCAGCTGTTGATCAGAGACACTCTCAAGTTGCCTGATCCTCAGCTGCTCTGCGTCTATCCCTTTTGTTGCTACTAGTAGCTTTCTCCCTATGGTACTGTAACTGTTTCTTGGTGCTTCTTGCTGGTATCGCTAGGTCGGTTGTTTAATCTCATGCCTGCTTGACTGTAGTATATTGTATAACTTGCATTGTTAGCCTCCTCTTTGACCAGCTGAGTGTCTTTGATAATCAGTTTCTGAATTACTTTAGTGATGGAGTGATGTACTTTTGGGTAATTGAAGAACTGTGCTTATAACTTTGCATTGCTGTGTTAAATGACTTTTGTCCCCTTTAAACTCCACTCAAACCCTTGCTATTTTTAAGCAGTAATTCTAGAAGTGTAATATTTCTTATTATAAATAGTGCAGCTTTGATAACTTTTTAATTAAAGGCTGCGGTTAAATAAGATGCTAGGAATCAGGCATAGACTTCCTTTGTAGATAATCTGCGGAATTCTTGAGTAAGCCAATTGTACTCCTCATCTCCACTTTATTCCCTACTCTGTGCAGATCAGAATGAAGAACAGAGGCTGGGTTCCAGTAACATTGCAGAATTAAGTCCAGGAGCAATAGATTCTTGCCGAAGCGAGTATCATGCTGCTTTTAACAGCATGATGATGGAGCGTATGACCACTGATATTAATGCACTGAAAAAGCAATATTCCAGGATAAAGAAGAAGCAGCAACAGCAGGTTCACCATGTGTATATCAGAGCAGGTAACGTATTAGAACATGCTTCACTTACTGATTTATTACAAGCTGACTTCATCATAGGAGACAAGGCGAATGACATTCTTTCACATTTAAGCAAACAGACAAAACGAGAGACTGATAGAATGTATAACACAGTAGTAGTAAAGCAGGTGCTGCTTTGTACAGACAGATTGTAAATGAGAAGGTGATGTTTTTTCTTCTTTTGTCAGGATCTGAAGATGATGACCCTGGGATTTATTTAGGTCCCAGGGACCAGCTGAACAATGGTATTTAACAGTGTCTTTGCTATCTGGGTGCATTGTGTTGATCTCTCTGATTAAAAACTTTCATTCTTTGGCATTCTTGGAGTTGACATACTGATGCACTGGGAAAAGTGAAATGAGGAGATGGGTACACTTCACACCAAGTGACAGGTAGATTCCTAGCTGGTCCGTATTATCCGAACTCCTCTGAGTTCTTCTGGGCATGGCAAATTACACAGTTGAAGAGCTGGCTTAGATGTTCCACTGTGGCTGTTTACCTAGCTGTAATGATACTGCTGTGAGGATTGAGCTGGACATCAGTCCGTTGTTTAGCAATCTGTGTTAGAGTCTTATTTCCCCAGTTGGCAAACTCAGCACAGGGGTTAGCATGAACAGTGTAGCTGAAGGCTTTAGTGGGTGTGCAAGCTGAACACAGTCCACCCCACTCATTCCTCCCCACTTAGGTGTCGTCTTTCTAAGTCAGCGTTGAACCATGCAGATAGGTCACTGGGGAGAATTTTTATTCCTCTCCTAGATTGTCTAAACTTGTCCTAGGAGGAGCATTTGAATACATAGAGCTGCAATTTTTCATCAACATTAACATCATTCGTAAGGAAATTTTTTTTTTACATATTGGCAAAGTATTTGCTTTGGACAAAGGCTGTAGCCAGCAGAAACAGTGCAAACAGTAAAATGTTGATTCCCAAGGATTGCCACCCCCCACCCTTCAAACACAGACCTTTCTAATCTTACTAATCATGATGTGGGCCTGGGTTTGTGGTTTAATCAAACTGTCATCTAATTACCTAATTTTGAGTCTGCTGCTCTGGTTTAATAGGAGGGCCTAATAGAAAAGAGTTGATGCAGTTTATCTGTTAAAAATACATTGGTTCATTCTGCAGTCACACAGGCCTCATGGAGAGGCTTATTTGACTGACCTCGTATAGGGACTGAATTGCTTCTTACAGTTGGAAGAGGAATGAAGGAGAGGGGAAAGGTCAGAATTCAGTAGTAATGTTAAACTATCAGTTACAGTGCAATTGCAAAAATCGAGAAGCTAATTTTGTTACGGTTTGTTTTTGTGGTATTCCTGGCTCAGGAGTTACCCATAGGTAAGAAACAGGGAGGGAGGACAGGAAATCTTTATTATAGAAGTTACAGCTTTCTGTTTGAGTCCAAGATGTAAGAGAAGTTCAGTGATTTTTTCTTTTTTATGATTATTTTTTATTTTTAAATAGCAGTCAGTCCTACAAACCTTTGCTATACCTCAAGGCAGGCATGAAATTTGGTAGTGGATCCTTAGAACATTAATTTGTTTTGTTCTTTAACAATACCATGTTTCTTTTAAACATTCTCTTTCAGACAAAGGGCCAGTTACCAGCCTCCTCCCTTCTCAGGTAAACCATTCCCCAGTGATAAACCATCTCCTTTTAGGAAAGAAGATGAAATTGAATAACAGGTCTCTCAAAAATGCTGTTATTCACATCCCAAGTCACGCTACAGGGAAGATGTCTCCCATTCCCCAAGAAGATCTTAAAACAAAACTGAACTCTCCGTGGCGCACTCACATACGAGTTCATCGAAAGAATATTGCTAGGGCCAAAGGCCAGCTGGGGTACGGGGATACCATAGGACTTATCGATGAGCAGAGCGAGAACTGTAAAACAAATAGTCCTGGTGCAAAGGAGGAGACTTCCAAACATTCTGAGTTTGGAGAAGGAGAAGGAGGTGGTTTGGATGACAGGACTACTCAAAAAGCTGACCGGCAGTCATCTGAGCCAGGCTCTGCGGACAGCAGTACAAACTTATCAGTGGTTCAGCTAAAACTGGAAGCCCTGGAACTCACCTCAGATAACAAAACAGATGCTGAGTCAACATCCCATCACTCTGGCCAGCCACATTTATCAGAGTCCTCCAGCTCATCCAGCGACAGCGGAAACCCGGCTAAATCTCCCCAGCCTGGGAACCCAAAGCCGCAAGTCTTCAATCCTTTTCCCAGTGTTAAGCCTCTTCGAAAGTCAGCTACAGCCAGGAATTTAGGGCTGTATGGCCCCACTGAAAGAACACCAACTGTACACTTCCCACAAATGAGCAAAAGTTTCAATAAGTCTGCCAGTGGCAACAGTGGGACCAGGAAACGATGATGTACTACCTGGCACTTTCTATTTCTGACAGCAACAAAAAATTTGTATTGCTTTCTTCTCTTTTTAATGTGTGTATGTGTGTCCCAAAGCGTTTCTAATCTTTAATCAAGTAATGGGGACAAAAGTGGTTACCAGATGTATAAATATGTGTCTTTGAAAATTGTACTCCCGTGTTGTTATGGGATAGATTAGTGAAGATGTGCTCTGGCCACCCTGTTGTCGGTTCTGATGGTTCTGTGGTAAAATAAACATTGATTTGCAGTGTGAAGCATACTGTTTCTTTAAGTCTAACTCAGACATAAAATCACCATCTGCCTTTAATCCCTCAGCCCCCCATGGCTGCCTCCTGTGTCTTTCAAAGCCCAAAGGACAAATTCTCTGGTGCAGCAGACATGTATAATGGTGTTTATGACTGTTAGGCAGCTTCCCCATTAGACCTCATCATCATCATGCTCTGTGAGTAGCTGGAGAAGCCATGACTAACAGAAGCACAAGCAGCCCTGGCCATCAAAAGTACCCCTTTGTGTCCGACATTTACCACTTACCTACCCGGCCATCTGGCTTCAGACGCTCTTAAGCAGCATTTTGTGCTTCTCTTCCCACAGCAGTCCTCTGCTAATGCTGTTTTTTAATATAAATGTAATCAGTGAGCATGAGAAATAAGTCCATCCGCCACACTGGTTTACTCTTTTTCTGTTACATATGTACATACCTACATTTCTGTTACTGCTGGAGAGTTGCGGCACTGCAAAATTAGGAATTAGATACAACTCTGTGTGTGGTTGTGTGAATGTTATGGCACATCTTGGCTTCAGTGGATTTAAAAGCTATTACCTAGGCTACAGACTTGTAATTAAATCATATTTGCCAGCTTAGTAGTAGGTAAAATATATGAATGTCTCAAAGTAGTTTAGGGTTTTAAATTCTATTTGTAGAGTGATTAGAGACTAGGTTGCCACTTACCATTAAAAGCCAACACATCACCCGCTACCTGTGGGACTGCCATGGGCTTCCATGGCTTGGCTCTTTTTTGGTGTGAAATAGCAATGGCAAAGCAATAACCTGAGTATTTACTTCCAAATCAAAAAGCAAAGTTGGTGAATACCATAAGATAAGTACTTTTTTTTTTTTTTTTTCCCCCTCTAGATATTAAACAGGCAGGCAGAGAAACTAAATGTGAATGATTCAACTTCAGGCTTGAAAAATTGAGCACTCGGACTCCAAGAAATTTAGGTTGCTCTTAAAACATTACAGCTCTGCCAATTTGTATGTACTGACTGTGATTCATTACCTTATTGCTTCCAAGTTTCCCATGACATGAAAGTGCCATTATTTTAAATGGGAGTAAAAGCAGTAATGATGAAGCAGCCCCATTGTATGTAATATCTTACTTCCTCTTTTAAAATTCTGTGTTAAACTTGCAAATTAATATATCATTGTCTATTTATTAATGTATCCTATAACCTATAGGATGTGATATCAGTTTTACTGTATACCATAACTTAAAAGCTGTACAATATACCCTGTTTGTTGTTCTGGGGACAGTTTATTTTGTTGTTGTTTTATACAAGTGTCTGCATATAAAATAATATACAAGTATGAACACTGTAAATATAAATCAGATGTAGATGAGATCTTGCCCCTGCCTTATTTTCAGGTTATAGGAGTATTGTCGCTAATGATTATTTATAGCAGTAAGTAGATTTAATGTAGAATTTAGTCACTGATCCCGGAGTGTATAGGAATTGTTTCTGCCTTGATTTAGAAGAAATGGACTTCTCAGAATTTTGCTGTGAATCATTCTGCCCAATTTTTCTTAGCTTCAGTGTATCGTGTGGCTGTATACTGAATCAGTGAAAATAAAAGGAGTGTCATTCTGCAAAAACTGCTAAAACGTTGCAAGTATGAATTTTCATGCAAGCGCATGAATTTTCAACACATGAAGATGTGATTAAGCAGTGGAAAATCGGCAAGCTTTACATGCATATTGGTCTGGAGAAAGAAATGCTTATAGAATACTAATTGTGGTGATTCAGACCTAATCAATAATTGATGAGCGTGCTCTGAGGGCCTTGTACGCTGCTTGGCCCATTAGGATTGAGGCGAAGGAACCACGGCAACTCGGTGCATCAGTTTGATGATGTTTGCTGCAGGAAATTTTCTTCAAGTAGTGCTAGATGAGAAAATGGCGTGTCATTTTAGCTCTCAGTACCTCAAAGGAGGTTTACTCTCTACCTGCAATCTACCTGTTGAACACACAGCAAAAGTAACTTCATCACTTGGTACTGAGGTGGCACGCTAAAACAAGGTCCAGAGAACCAGGAAACTCCAGAGAAATTTCCGATTATTTTTACATAACGAATCCCTTCAGCAAACGAGGTCCGGTGATGCAGCTGTGCTTGGAAGAGTGGTGTTGCAGCACTGAGGGCGCTGGGAAGCACGATGGTGGGAGTCTCTTCTGCTCCATAAACCTCTGCATTTTGTTCTACTTGAGGCCAACTTGTGCCAACGCTCTCTTCCATGCCACTAAGTGACCTTTCTGTTTGTTGGTTTTGTTTTTTTTTAAACTCCTTGAGTCTTTTTTTGAGAAAGTATTTTATAGGATCAGATTGACTTTTATTTCTGAGGATGTGTTTCACCATCATCTAATGGAAGCACTCAAGGGATGGGTATTTGATTCTGTTTTGGGGTCACTTAGAGTCCTGCAAGTGGAAATAGGTCCAAAGCTATTCTAAGATTATCCAAAATTGCCTACACTTTGGGGATAAAAATGGTAGAACTCACTTTTTCAGAATTGCAGGCAGCAACTGCATTTCATCCACATGATTTCATGCATTTCATCCTCCTGATTTCATCCACAACTGCAGCTAGGCAAAATATAATTTTGTGTACTTAACGAAAGTCCTACTAGAATCCATTCAAAAGAATGTAAGTGGTTGCTAGAAAGGCAACAAAACATTTCAAGCAAAAATAAAATGCAGCCCTTTACACGGATATTTCCAATTCAGGTAAACGTCAAAATTCAAGAGAGACTTTAAATCTGTTTCAAACCTCCACAACGTGTATTTTAGACCGTGTGGAGTTGTTCATACAGAAACAAGGTGGGTGGTTTCACCGTTCTGGGGTTTTCCTTGGGCTTCTTGCAGTGAGTTACCCTGTGCAGGCAGTGGTCACACCTGGCTGAATGGCAGGGGGCTGAGATCATTGGCACCAGCTCCACGGAAGCATGAAGAGACAAAAATTCATCCTAATGGATCCCTGTCCTTGTCAACACTTTGTTTGCTCCAGTTTTACTTGCTTTTAGTTGGCAGAAGATTCATTCAAGGCAGGAGGTCGTCATGGAGCCCCGTGAGTGATTTTAAGATGCGCAGTTGTCCGTCCCAGCTCCTTCAGCCCATGTCATCAGCCAGGAGGGACCGGTCGGGTGACTGATTTCTCAAGCAGCCAGAAACCGCTGTGTTTGGACACCTCTGCATTGGTGACGGCATCCTTGGGAAGGTGGGACCCCCCTGGGAGGGTCACGCCTGGGAAGGGTGGATCCAGCGCGCTGCAGGAAAGTGCACGTGAAGGGCATCTTCTGCACATCCTTCCCCACTGAGGAGCCTGAAGAACCTTCAGGCAGGGCTTGCACAAGCTGACTGACTGAGATGGGATGTTTAATGCGATTTGGGCCATAGAAGTGGTTTGCAGTGTAAGACCGTGTCAGGCTAGCTGATGCTGGGGCCCAGCCTCCCCCAGCCCGCGGGATGCCGTTTCAGCTCTGCTTCTTCCTACAAGCACCACACAGCACTTACTGGCTCACCACAGGTTTAAAAAGAACCACAAATGTTTCCATGTCTTTGATAAAACCATATCAAACCGTGCTGGCTGACCACAAATAAGCAGGCAGACGTGGTGGTGGCGTGGGAGGCGATGCATGTGGGTAGAGAGCTTGGGAGGACGAAAGAAGCAACCCACCAGGCAAAAGGTGCAAAAAGTTTTGAGGGAAAGCAAACTCCTCAGTGCCTGTGCTTCTTTTTAGGTTGGTTGTTTATAAACAACAAAAGGATCGGATCCGTGACGTGATGCTCCCTGCCCATCCTTGGTGTGTTCATCATGGACTTGCCTGATGCCAGCAAGGAGCCACGTCCCATGATGTTGTTGTCCACCCACTTGGTAGCCCAGTGGTTGCCCCGGCAGGAGGGAGACACCAGCGGAGAGCCCTCCGATGTGCTTTGCTGCAGCTCAGTTCGCACAGTGAGCCATCAAAAAGGGAGCAAACGTTCGAATCCCAGCTGAGGTTAAAACCTGTGCTGTCATTGCTGGCACACCTGACGTCTCCTGGCCTGCGCTCTGAGCCGGCTCTGCAGGGAGGGTGTAGCTGGGGTGGCACTGCCCCAAAACTGGGCTAGGAAGTGTTGCTAACTGGCATGTGTGCCAGGCCGTTGCTGGAGGGATGAGGCCATTGCTGGATGGATGCGGCCGTGCAATCCCGGGCGAAGCTCGGCGTGCTACCTGCAGCTCTGCAATGTGGAGCTGGCTTGCTAGCTCAGCCCAAAGGCTTCGCAAGCCTGTGCGTGCTCCGAGCACGGCTTGTGGCAGTTTGCGGGGGATCTGATGGATGTACATGCCATGCAACCCACGGTAGTGCGTGGGATGTAACCCTCCGTGTCTGCTTTGTCAGCCGCAGCCCGACCCGTCTGGTAGAAAGGGCTGCTGTACAATACGTTGCTCGCTCTCTCCTTCTCTCAGGGGTGCGTACAGTTTTTCGTTACCACTTGCTGGTTTTCTGATATTTCGTAATTGTTGGTGACACGGGGAAATTTTTTGAGCAGCGCCTCATTTTTTGAATACTGAAGCGGGAGAGGCAGGAGTGCTTTCTGCGTCGCAGCACTCAGTTGTTTTTTCAACTGTTCCCCTCTCTCTGGCTTCTCTTTGTGAACTCCCAGCCCTCGCTTGCGTTCATTGACTGTGTGTTTGATGAGAGTTTTTGGGAAGATAACGATAGCCACACTGGTCGGGTTAACCTAACATCTTTTCTCTGACCACTAATGG